GGGCAAATATGGGTAGAGCCGTATATAAAAAGATTCTCTCTTTTAGAACGTTTTCCGAGTTATAGAGCAAAGCTAGGTTTTTAACTAAGGCAACATTGAACCGTTTATTGTGCACAGTGTGCGCGGTAAATGGTAAAATTAAAGGCGAGTAATCTCTAATGGTAGACGCCCCCGAAAAATCCAAGGGATTGTTAGTGACGTATTCCCTTACCAGGCGAACCATTTTACTAGAATCGATATCAATGTCCAGCGCTTTTTCATTTGGTACTATTTCCTTGATTAGACGATCGATTCGCGGAAACGGTTTAAAATAGCCACTGATAAAGCACATCGATAAAGCGATTAATGTCAACAGTATGGTCGTCAATGTTAAAAACATTTGCGGTTGTATGTACTTAAGTATGGAAAGAGATCAACGTCTAATAAACGCTCTTGAAGATCGGTCGTTTATTGGAGCAATTTTACAACTTTCCAACGCCTCGTGGCCGCAACAGTTCCTAAAAGCAGTTATAAAGTACGATGCCTCTGAAGGCGATAAACTCAATTTATGCCTTTTGATTTTGAAAGCGCCAAACGTTGCCAAAATGAATTTGCCCACGATATATTCGACATTATACCCGTTCAATCCGACATCGTCGACAATAAAATCTCACATTAGTGACCGTGCTAAAACTGTATTGAACATTTGCAAAACTAGCATCGATAACGATTATAATGACGACAACGAAGACGAACGGATATTGCAATTAACGGTCCCAACCAATTTCGTTACGGCAGATCATTTTCCCGATATATTCTCTATGCGCGAATTCCTTTATCTGTGTATTTTTGATACAACCTATTTGGCTCGTACCGTCGCTTATTTGAAGCCGTTCCTTACAAGTCGAGAAATATTAAGGGAATTTGCCTCGGGGATCGGTTTCGTTGATGCTCAACTAACAACATTTCTGACCGGTCGCAAATACTCGTACAATATAATACAAATACTACCAAAAAATAATAATGCCGATGATTTTGCGTTTAGCTTTTTCGATCCAAAGCCAAGTCTGCAACACTGTGTACAATTTACGCTAACGCCAGCGCTTTTAGGCTATAACGGAAGGTCACTCTTTTTGCAGCATAATTTTGATCGGAATCACAGGTTTAATGGTATTGGTTGGAGAAGTCGACGCAGAGCCCTATATCGAGATGGGGAAAATCTATTTGCTGCCATCGGTATAGACGAATATCATATGCACGCCGTCGTCATACAGGACCTTCGGAAGAATCCTCTAATTTTGCATGAAATATTTTCGTGCCGCCCTATCATCCTTGTTGTCGGTCTCGGTTCAAGTTGGTACTTCTATTTACCCTAAAATCGAAAATACTTCCATGACTTTGCGTTTCAACATACCTCTCATGTTGAACTTGAGTTGGCAAAATTCGACATCTATGAGCCCGACCAATTATTGGGATCTTAAACTGGATTCCGTTTGCTTAATGGTCAATATGATAATTTGAAGAAAATCATACATTTAGGTGCGAACAATGTAGTCGACTTGAATCCCATTGGTAATGGTTACAAATTAATCGGATCGCATTTCCGTGATGTTGTTGTTTTTGATCGGATCGCCGTGAATTTATCGACCTTGTTGAACGTGCACAGCATAAATGGAAAACTGTTTACTAATTGCGTGCCGCAAGTTTGTTTCATTTCAAACTACAAAGATATACGCATCTGGTTATGTTTCACCTTGGCGGACAGGGTCGTTTGCAAATGTGTTTAAACTAAGATTAGGATGTACCTTCAGTTATGTATATTAACGGTGGGCACGATCGTTTGGCTTATGAGCGATATTTGGACCCTCATGGGTGTAAAATGGTTAACAATAATTTACGATCTAGTAAAACCGAAAATTCCCAGTTGCATAATAGAAATGATCGAAGCCCAGACCCAAGAAATTGTGGAAATGATACTGACAACACAAAAACCAGTTACTACGAAATTTATTGGGAATATGGCGCCTACAAATTTTGCGCGACCTACAGTATTATTAACTTTATTCCGAACATTACGTGCCACAGCCGAGAACACTGCCGAAAAAAGCGACGGCAAGCGTTGTTGTTCTATTATCGCCAAAGAGGTCGATCGAGAATTGGATGTTTTAGAGCTGCACGATCATAAATTGGAGTTGGAAATAAATCAAAGCCTCAGTGAATAAGTATATGCCTTTATTTTTTAACCATGCTTTCATTGAATTGGTTCAACCATTCGAAGATGGGTTTAAACTGACAACACAACAAATGATGTCCTACGTTATTATCCCAGAGATAAATGACTCCCGTCCTAGCGGGAAACTGGCAATTGTGCCGGAACGAGTGCGCCTTTTTTGCAGTATCCTTGATTTTCGCGTTTCGAAATCGTTCGACCAGCAGAGAAAACACCGTGACAATGCCATGAACCAAAGTAGCTTCACTTTGGATTTTCATCGGATGTACGACCAGCAGTCCGTCGTCGTTGGGCAGTGCGCTGAGAATTGAATAGGCCGTGTAGCCGGCCCGAACCATATCGTTACACCAAAGCCATATTTCACGAAATTCCTCCAGAGACTCTATGTCAATTTGGTAAGTTGCTGCCGTTTCGGTACCGGTCAAATGCTTTCGGCATTCCCAAACGGGGTTGCGCGATGCCTCTTCGTTGAAGGCAACTTGGGTCTCCGGGCCAATAGGTTGATTGGATAATTGAACGTGTACGTCATCTTGAATAAAACAACTTTTCTCAATGGCCAGGCTCGTTCGTTCATTGATATCTTTGTGCAATTTACAATACCCTTCCATTTTGTCGTACAATAAATGTCGGAACAATAGTCATAAGACCAAAATGCAAACTTGGATAATCGTATTTATAGTCTGCATAGTGATCGCCCTTGCCACGGTACTATATGCGGCTGTTGTTCATGTTGATACGACTTCATCAACCAAATGTACAAATGTAAGATAATGCTGCGTACTCACTTTATCAACCACGGGCGTTTATATATAACATGGATAAGCAACAATAACCGCAGAGATCAGTGTGCAACCATCGTCGACTGAAACCAGCGACCATCGTCGGCTGCAACCAGCGACCATCGTCGACTGAAACCATTAATTGGGAACAATGTTCAAATGGATATTTCTTCAAGCTCTTCGTGACAACAATGTCAAAAAAATCGAACTATTGCTGCACCGGTATATCTACATGAGTTCTAGTGTTGACGTGGATTTATTCAGACTGACCATCAAAATGGGAAAATTAGATATATTCCGGAAATTGTTAAAGTGGATTCCGTTCGACCAATCAAAAGCACCGGGCCTTGTACGTCTTGCCATCGGAAACCACTGGAAATGCGACGATTTACGAAAACTTATAAAAATACTCAAAGTGGTACCAAGTAGCTCGAGTGTTTTTGCTTCTGTCGTGCTTGACAAACTAGACATTCTGAAACTGCTCATCGAACAATGTAATTTGTCCTCGAAGCAGAAAAATTCAGAAGGTGAAACACCATTACAAGTTGCGATTCGGCTGAATCGTATCAGGTGTGCCACTTATCTGAAAACAAAGAAAACGACCAGTACAAAGAAAATGGACCTTGCTTAATCCTCACAGTTCAAATAATTTCCGTTAGAGTTATTATGTAGTGTGTACTATGTATTTTCATTTGAAGCGCAAATAAAATCGACTATACGTACATGAACCCCTATTTGTTTTATTTCAACGTTTAGGTTTATAGCCTCATTGATCTATGTTTAAGTTTGTCGAATGATCAGAAAACGAAATTTACTCTCAACAGACCAGTACGAGTCACTACTCAAACATTTACGGCTTGGATTACAAAATTCGGATAATGTCCGAACACGTTACGTTTGCAGGATATGTTTATTATGCGCGGGTACTGGTAAGCGAATTTCAGACGTTAGTAAATTTACTCGAAGCCAAATTGAAATGCTGAGAGAGGTAGGATCGTTATCGTTTCAAGTTCAGAAAACTAGCTCTTTGGGATTAGTCATTTGGTACGGCGAGAACGAGGTGTTGAACGACATCATCGACATTTCCTTGCGAGTGCGCATATCCGTAAAAAAAAAAAATCATCGCCAGTTGGGTAGACTTTAAGTGTTCTCGAGCATCGCTCTATCGTGCAATGAACCAGTTTTTACTTGGTGCTGATTTAACAAATAAACGAGGAACTAAATTCCACGAATTTCGTATCAAACTAGCTGGTCGCCTATACGAGGCAATGAAAACACATTCAGATATAAAACATTTATTAGATGATAGATCCAGCAGAATAACAAATCATTACATTGCTCAGGAGTTATACAATATATCTAGAGAACGCGAGGCCGCTGAAATGGTGGCCATTTAGTTGTTGCACTGGTCACAATCCGCTTCTGTCATCAACATTGAACGTGTCAAATTCTGTTGCGTTCGGGTATAGTAGGCCCCAGTTTTAACTCTACGTTTCCACAGATTCCCGAGCCGGTTGGCCAAGTGGTGGGCATCGGCCGAGGGCACATATAAGTTAGTGGACGAACTCTGATCCAGATACATGCTTTGGGTAATTGTTAGTTGATCCGCCAGTCTAGAGTCACAGAAGGCATTGAATGGGCTGGCGAAAAACATCTGCAGCGTAGATCCAAACATTTTAATGGCAACCGGTTCGTTGTTGCTGTTTGTCACGGGCATTTCGATCGATGGCGAACAGTTGCATAGCAAAGAGATTGAAGCCGTCGGAGATTGGCCCGTCAGCGTCAAATTTTAAATTCCTCGCAGCTCGTTTGAGTACTAGCAACGATTCGAGATGGAAATGTTTCCACGTTCCTTGTCTAAGTTCTACTTGCGACTTTCCTATGGCCCATGCGCTTTTTTCAAAGTCCTCAAACGGGGTATATACTTGGCCCCAGTCACAGCTACGCTCAATTGCGCCGATGTAGACAGCTTCCATAATCACTTCTAATTTTTTCACGACTTTTAGATTATTTTAAGCATTGTTCTCGTGAGTAGAAAATGTGTCGCTGAACCCTAACAGGCCAATCGCCAGCGGTCGATATTTAAGACTGTATTCGAACCTACTTGTTGCCTGTGTGGTATTCAATATATCTACGAGCATAGCTATTTTAGTATTTAACGCGTCCAAGTCGATATCGGTACACCGTATTGGTAGTTTCTTACAAATTTTTTTCACATTCAGGGTGCCCACACAACAGGTCGCACATTCGTCGTCTTTCATGTGCAGCGTAATTTCCGTACAGAGGTTAGAGCTTCCGATCGGACGTTTTTGACTGTTCGGAAATTGACTAAACTTGTTCATATGATCCAGAAATATTATCGAAGGTTTGCCATTCGCGAGAATTCGCTGACAAATAACGTTCATTAATCCACGAGCCGTAATGGTCTTTGCAAACCTATGGACGCCTTTCATTTTTCGATAAACGGCGCTCGAATAAATTTCATCGTCGGTGGCAAACATTCCCCATGCTGTATTTTGTCTTACGGCCATCATGAAATCGTCGAGTATGCCGATTGTAAAAAGATGATTCGATGGACGGTCAACGTTGGCCGACATAGAGTTCGATTTAAGCAGTACCTCCAATACGCGTACGTCCGCAATACTTTGATTAAAATTGGATACAATATTGCGGTTCGGAGCGCTCATACAGTCCGCCAAAAATTTGTAATGCTCGATGTTTTCAGTGCTTCGTAGCTCTATACCAAGTCCTACGTAGTTCAATGAACAGTCTCAAATGTTTCATAAACTTACGTTTAATGGTCTGGTGGTCTTCTGTACATGATTTTTGACGAAATTCTCGCAAAACTGCACAGGATTCTGTTGATAATTTGGTACCGATATGCCGCAGAATTTGTCCGCTCGGCGAGAAGTCTTGTTGCACCAAACCCTCATAAAATTCATCCACAGTGAAATGAAGTGTCTCCGACACAATGCTGTGCGTGAAAAGGGCCACACGACTATACATAAATTCGGGCCATTCGTACTGCAATGCATATCTGGTCAAGAAGACGAATTTCTGCTCGAATGTCCTATTGAACCGTTCCAGACGATTCCAATCGACCGGGTCCGCAGCAATTGCGTCCATTAGTTTTGCGTTGAAAATGTGGCCATTTGCATCTACGTACATCTCTTTGGTGAACGTGTCCCACAAATCCGTTATGATTCGATCACAGAAAACTTTACCACTTTTCGTTTGCGAAATCGATCCGAGGACAAGCTGCCATTTTTCAGCTTTACCGGCCGTGCCCTTTACTAGTTCTTCCGTAAATGTTTTGTACTTGGGGTACTTGAAACTAACCGAAATCAACGCGTTTCTAATGAGCTCTTCGTATGCCATATTACAACCGTCTGTGAAAGCGGTTTACTCGATTCCCCTTTTTATATCAAATCGTTATCTTTGTTCGCTAATTTAATATAAATTGGCACTGGTTTATTGTTAAACGGACAATATTCTCAGGTTTGCCATGTCTCACGTATCTCTTGAAGAACTGTACAGCGTGATTGCTAAGCCGGTACCAAATTATTTCCATTGTGAATATGATGCCAAATTGATGAAATTAGTTCGCGAACATCTTTCGTGTTTATGGGTCGCGGGCGACGTGGATCTTGCCAAGGATTCGATCAAAAACGATTGTCCTGAAAATGTGAAAAAGGCCGTGAAAATTGCATTGGCGTTCCTAATGAGGGCGGACGACCTAATATCAAAAAAAATTTACTGAAGCGTCGCGACGGCACTGACGACGTCGGAGCGGAATCCAAGCCGGCGCTCACCTCGGTGGTCGGTGGTCGGTGGTCTAGGCGCTGGTGGTCTGGGCTGTTGGTACCTGAAACAGAAGAAGAAGAGTGAGAGGGCAGGTATTTTCTTCTGACGTACTATCTTCTGTGTACTATCCGTATCTACGGTATTGAACGCGATGCAGCGGGGACTGCTATAGCGGCGGTACTGATGGTGTGACTCGGAATCAGCCAGAGCCCCACCATCCTTACCTTGGTACGCGCGGTCGGTGTGGAGACGAACGGATGTCTCTTCGAATCGACGGTCCGCCGCCGTATTTATGGTCGCGGTCGATGCCCCACTCGGGCGGTTGAGAAGAGGGAATCGGATCGGCGCGCGATGTTGCCGCCGCTTCTTTTATTTCCCGAGAAAAATATAGTAACTCTGTTACAAACCCAACTAAGAAATATCGCAGTTATATAGTAAGATGTTTTATAGCAATGTATATGATCCTATTGAGAACGTTTGTGCTACTTGGGTACAACGCAATTTTGACATTGATAATATTTCGTACTGTTTTTCACGTCCGGCCAAATATAATTATCGCTTTTCATTTCACATTCGTTATGATCGCGACACGCCACCAGTTGCAAATCGAATTTCTTATTTTGGCAAAGAACCAGCGTCGGGTCGGCTTCCTGTTCAAAACAGACCCAGTACCCGTATTGATAAATGTTTGATGAGTCTCCTCCAGTTTCCGTTGTTTTATAAAAATGGGCTAACTCGTCTTGCCTAATTGGAACGTTACCTTTTTGTTTACAGTAGGGTTTCGATACAATGCCATTGTCGACGAGTACCAAGTTCATATCCAAGTTAAATTCCATAAACAGTTGAGGTTCATGAGTAAAGGTATCGGTGCGATATAATAGTGTACCTTCAAAATCGTACGTAAAAGATTGGGCTCACCATCGTCCGTGCTCGTAAATTATGCTATTGCCCGGTTCTAGGCAAAACGAATAAAGTACGACGTCCCAATCGATTACACCGCTAATTGGAGAATACGGAAAAACTTTTACTGTGCCGACATTGGTGACGGCGGTCTTCTGCAATGCCCATCATAAACATTTGCAAAGTTTTATCGTCCATTTGTCGTGTCGGAATTAGCATATAAATGGGCGTAAATAGAATTATGAGAACGAGTATTAGCCACATAAGAAGGTCATTATAATTGGTGCTTCTTGAAACTAACTACGTTCTACAAACTTTGGTTCTACTATGACGTCTCCGAGTTGCATGGGTCCGCAGAAGAAAATAATTATGGACGTCGATGCGAGCAAAACGCCAAAGCTGTATTTCAGGCAGCTAGTTCCTTTGCCACTGAAAATAGTCACCTTCAGATGTGCTGGTTTTTCAATTGTAAAGGAGAAATTGTTATCGATTCGTTGGTGCGCGTACCTTCTGACCAATCGCTCGTATTGTATGATGCGAACAAGAACGACCAGTATGACGAAGAAAACGAAATTACGGCTAAACGTCCACGTCTTTCAAAACAACTACCTCTCCAACAGGCGAGCATTTCACGACAATTGCAAGAATTGAAAATCAAGGTGTACTCTGATTTGGAATATCGTTCATCTAACGATGATTGGTCTATCGTGATCGATCGCGACATGTTTACGGTCAAAGGAAAAAGCCTGATTGAGCAATTGACGATGAAATTCAACGCAGCTCTGGCATCTGATCGATTTTACTGCATTTCTTTGCGACGGTTTTCTAACGTTGTCGTCCAAAAGGGTCACTGTGCTTTACAAAGACCAAAGCGAGCATTCGTGATTAAAACCGATAAACAGGAATCGGTAGATGAATGTTTATCACCCAACGAAGATCAACAGAATATCGTCAGGGAAATTGAAAACGTTCTCGATTGCTTGTCAACGACCGGATCGAATGCCGGTTCGAATGCCAATTCATATACCAGGTCGAAAGTTATATTGGTAAACAGCGTAGCGGGATCGGGAAAGACTACCACGTTGCATTTTCTTCGACATAGGAAAATTCTCTATTTGGCGACATCGAAAAAATTAGTTGCTGAGGGAAGCGAGTACGGTGTTGAGGCGCAAACGATTTGCAAATTTTTCATGAAAGTTTTCGGTTGGCGTTTCGATGAGAACGTCGAGGCAGTGGAAGAACTGACCAGTGGTGACAGTTGGGAAAAATCGTTTGAAGATAACCATCACAACGGTATTAAAGAAAGATACGACATTATCTTTATAGATGAAGTATCTTTAATTCAATCGACTTTACTACGTGAGCTTACACGAATCGCGGGACGGCATACTTTAGTTGTCACGCTAGTCGGCGACGTCAATCAATTATCGGCCATCGGAGCCGACGAACACGATCTGTATAAATGTCTAAGTTACGTTGACAGAGTATTTTTCATCAAGCAACATATGCGCTCAAAATGCGATCCACGATTGACGGGATTGTTGAGGCAGTTCGAAGCTGGCGATGCTGTAAATTACGACACGTTGAAGACGCTGCAAAAGTCGAAAATCGGCTTGAGGCAGCTTTTCAACTATGACGGATCTTTTCGAGAGTTTCGATTCATTTCCAAAAATAACAGCAACGTCGTTTTACTGAACATGGCATGCATCAGAGAGCAAATAAGTCGCCCGACGCCCGTATCGTTCAGGCACGATTGTAGGGGGAACTATTACTATGAGATGTTCGACTTTAACTATTGTAGCAGCGATTTGAAAGAGTACGAGTTTTCACCTGTATGCGTCAGATGCCAACGCAACTATTTGAGATGCCGTTTCCTACCGTGTGGACACGGACCTTGTTGTATCTATTGTAGTCCTAATGTACGATATTGTCGTGTATGTAAATGCCCAATTAGCTTTAAAATAAATGTCACCGAATCGTTGGGGAACGCATTAAGGAAGTAACCGTTCCGTTTTTTTCTGTTTGTCAATAGATCTCAATGCCCAAACAAAATAGCAACGTGTTTTCTTTTACCATTGCTCCTTGAGCGTGTTATACTGATACCATTTCAATTCAGGTCATGACCAAAGTTAGAGGTGCACAATAGCTGAAAATGAAATGTTGTACATCAAATAAAAACGACAGGTATCACTAACTCAACTCAACTTTAGTGACAATAGTATACAATCGTCTGATTATTCGGATATAATACTAGCGCAAATCGTACATTCGAAATCCAGCGTGCTATACATGGTTTGTAAGTAGGCTCTTACTTCTCCGTTCGTACACGTACGGCAGAAATCAAATACGCACGTACTCAAAAAGTTATGAACGTGGTATTTCATCATCAGGCCGCATAAACGCTTCGGTGAAAAGTCTCTCTTTTCGTCGTAAAAAGTATTGATTGAACATTTAGCTCGTAAAACGTTCAAAATCAGACCCAATTGATCCGCATATGCTTGTTTGGATTCGTTCGGCAAACATTTTCTGGTTGTTAGTTCATCTACGAACAGCATAGGCATCGAAAGATTTTCGTATGGTCCCCAACCGTTTGCTAAATCGTTGACGCATAAATAGTTCATCAACTCTTTGAACAATTCCAAATACCCACTGGACAAACAGTGAAGAGGCCAATTTCCTCGCACAAGTAATAGTCTATTTGTCACTTCCGGCCTGATCAACTTCAACATGTGCAGAAGCGGAGATATTCCATTCATAACTGGCAGAAAATCCAGGTACGCTATCATCTGCTCCGGCACGAACACTTGCAACTGTATGAAATTCTCTTGGTCTTTTCGGAAGGTGGGATAAAGCCCCAATTTGCAGCCTATCACGTAAACCATATTAAATGGACCGTGCTAATACAATGATACCTACAGTGGATATCTGAGTGCTATTTAAACCAATAATCAGCGACCACAAAATATGTGCAAAACGTTCAGGAATTTAGTTTATGTTGCAGCAAAGGCACTATTTGTGGTCGTTTTAACGGTCACTGCTCTAGATTGGATTTATAATGTAAACGTGGTATCTGAAACATAGGTACCGCTTTAAGTTTTGTAAGGTGAATCCGCATAATGTTGCTCGTGGGCTTAGCTTCCCAGCTCGGCTTAGCTTCCCAGCTCGGATGTCGATTACATGCTTGCCCTTTTCAATTTGCAAGATCAGAGTTCAAAGTATATTAACCTCTTTTATTCCTATATTCGACATCCGACATCGTAATCTCAGAGCGTAATATAAACCTGCTAACGTGGCATTAAACAGTAGTCGCCGTAAAAGGAGACATTGGACCGTCGGACGATGCTATATTACACCGTAATCTCAGATCGTAATATAAACCTGCTAACGTGGCATTAGACAGCAGTCGCCAGAAAAGAAGACGTTGCACCGTCGGCCGATGATCGTTGATCGTCACAAAGAAATTTGATATGGACAGTAGCAAAAAGGCCGTTGCACTTGCGATGCTGCCGAATGTAAATCGGCCTTTTTGCTACTGTCCGTAAACTACAAAGAATATGTATGCCTATGGTCAGGAAATCAAACAACTAAAGCTAAATAAAACCTTTATTAATCCTGAGGATCCTCGCTCTTCCATTTACGATCGCGGTTGTTTGCTATTCGGCGGTAAATGTTCATCGTCAAGGTATTGGGACAATTTACGTTTCGGGGCAGCCATATAATTGAAAATTACGGATTTACCACAACATTTAGTCCATTCGAATATCATCTGCAACGAATAGGGCAGTTGAATAGTGCCTTGGGTCGAATTGTAATGTTCCGTCGATTTCTGATACAAGGAATTGGGTGTGAGACTGGCGAGCATTTTAGCTGTATTTTTATCGATACGCATCGGATTGCCCGTCTCTGAGCTCTGAAAATTATCCCAAGGAAATTCGTTGAGCAACTTGAAACGAACGTAGCCCCCGGTACCGATATAGGTGCCATTATGAAAGACACGTTCGGCCGTTTCCATTTGTTCCGTGATGCATCCAAGCGAACCTTTGGCAACAAGCGAGCCAGGATTTATCGTTACGTCTACTCGTAGGCCATTCTCTCTTAGCAAGTTACGGAAATCGGCATACTCGATCATTCCTTTATTGCCGTGACAATTGACGATTTTCGCGTTATACCTGGGATTGACGTAATGAATTAAAACGACGACGACAAACGTTTTATGAAACCGTTTAAAATCAATCTCGACATTGTCAAAAGGGACATCGTGCAAAAGCTCAAGATAAATTTCGTAACGATATGGGGGCGCGTTACGGTTGCTCTCTACGATCGTAAATTTTTTACTCTCGACCTTCAATGGAGACGCACTCAATCAATACCCAAAGTAGATTTTATGCCCGATCGTTGGAATAAACCATATTTTCCTATCTGGAATAAAGGTAATCTTCTGATTGAGCGTGTCCTTCTTCAGGTCGCAGGTAAACTTTGTCGTTAGTCGAACATTGAAATCCACATGGTCGCCGACCACATATCCATCTTCCACGTTACGGTTCTCGAAATCGTAGAAAAATGGAAAGAGCATGAGCTCCTTATCGTAGCTGCCTTGCGTTTGTTCGTGTGCGGTGGTCGATGCAAAATTACACATAGGCGCAATAAACTGTCTTTTTATAGCCGTGACCGATACGTGTAGTTTTGATAGTTCGGTATTCCAAAAGTATGGAAACTGCAACGAATAGACGTCGCAGTTCTCGAAAAAATAATACGGAACAAATTGAAATTTGATCTCACTGTATTTGGTTAAAATATGGCGTCGACACCAGCCCAACGGTGGATCGTAGACGTTACTTTTAGAGATCAATGGATGACGGCTTAAAGTCATTTTCTTACACGAACACGTTTCGAGTTCGTTGACGGTCAGTGGGAATAATAGAGATCCGCTTTGTAGGCGAATATGATAAAAATTATCGCCTAGCTGTATAACGACGCATTGCGGATTAAACGACTTTAACTTGAAATAGAAATCCTCAAAGGTGAGAGACTCGCGGAACACAGTCAGGACGGAATTGAATACGATTTGCCTTCTGCCGTTCTCGTCGTACAATGGTTATAATTTCATCCACAATTTGGCGCATTCCTGGTCAGAACAAAAAACGATGTGCGTACTGTAAACCAAATTCATTCGTTTTCCGGCCGAGGAAATGTTTCCAATATTCGTATTAGCCAAGATGCGTTCGTGGTTTTGAGTTATAAACATGGTCGAGTTGCGTTTATTGTTTTGAGACGAGCATCGTTTTACTCGATTAAACGGCGCTCTCATAAAGTAGGATTTTCCGAATAATGTTTGCATGCCCATCGGCGTCGTCCCATCTTTACCGCTCTGTTTTTTTTTGTTCAACGTCAATCGTGATATCGTTACAGATAAAGGCGCCAATTTCTCCGTATAATTTGTCAATCGTATTGATAAACTGAGTTTCGTGCCATTGCCGAGAACGTATTGTGTCGAGAACATTCTTAAGCGCACCAATGGAACTCTCGTCAGAGGAGAAGCACCCTGATCGATTTGAAAACACTTCTTCTTTCAAAGGACAGCTGTCGCTCGCCCTGCTAGACGGTTCTAAACTTGCCTTGCCAAATTATCCAACTCCATACTGGATACCTGGCCAACGATTGTACCAAACTACAGTCAAATTTTACGTCGTTCTTTATCTGACCGAGACGGATACCTATCGTCCGCCATTTATATAGGGCTATTCAATGCACTACCAATACGGCATGTGCAAGATCAAAAACTCGACGCTCGATACATTATGCAAACTTTTCCCGTCGGAGCGGCTCTAAGCGCCTTAGCAGTCGAGAATAACGACGAAGAAAAACATAAGCTATTGAAGCAAGTTTGGAAACTGGCGTTCAATGACAAAGGTGTAGGTGGCCGGGAAAGCGACATAGATGTTATACAAAGAAAAGAACTTGTCATGGCTCAGGAAATTGAAAAAATAAACGAATGGCGAGAATGGAACCGGGAAAATTAAAGTGGGCAAGAAAATGTGGGCGTCGGTCGCGTCGGCGATCAACAAATACTGCAATACGAAAGTTACATACGTCTATTACAAGACTACTACCAATTCACGATTCGTTTCTTACCCTTCGCATAGGGCGTGACGAGTTTTCAGGAAGGCATTTCGCAGTTATATTGGTTATATTTACACATCACCTTAGCCTTGGTAAAGATGAATCGGAGTGGTGAGCAACAATGTATCAAATTGTTGGAGCTCTTTGATTGGTATTTATTATGTGGTACGTGTAGTTACGAATACAAACAGCACGCGGGTGATTTAATGCAGGCATTGGTCGTTTCAAAAGTTACCGAGGACGGCGACAGACAACCTGAGCTGGCGCCCGATGCCGAAAGAATTCAAATAATTTATCATAGCAGTGTTTCTTTACGCACTCATAACATTGCTTTGCCACACGACCAAATCGTTGATTATATGAATGCCTTTCGTGATATTGCCGTTACCATTACGAATACCAATTAACTGGCATTGTCATTATACGAATACCAATTACTTGTTGACAATCAGGTGCAATGAATTTGATATTAGTCTTGGGTCGACGCGACTACACGTTTAATGTCATAACATCGATTATTCGAAATCAATAGAGCTTGAAAAATAGCAACCATGATCATGCCGGAAACTAATAACATCTTAGGATTGTTATTCCAGCTCAGTATAAAGGCCAACCATAAAGTTACAGAAAATACGATCATCACAAACGAGGCATACTGATTTTGAGTCAATATGAAACCACAATCTTTTAACGCCGTACGTAAATTTTCACCTTGTCGAGCTGTCAAGTCCCATAAACGCCGATTACTTGTTGCTTTCCCTGTATTCTTATCCATATAAGTACTTATATTATAATGCTCGTGGACACGGCGAATTTGAAATGGTTCAACTATATGCGTCGTGATTACTCGCCACGATTGCAAATTATACTAACGTACTTTTTCACTCTCTTTTTTGTATCCCTGCTAGTATTATGGGAGTCGCCTTAACGCGGCATTTTCGATCCATAGGGCCTGTATAAGGTGTAAGTATAGGATCTATGGGAAAGATAAAGTAAAACACTGAGGGTGAAAATGACACAAGTTTATTCTTTTGCAAGCGAGTACCTATGTATACAATAAAAAACCATTGAAAATCACACTTCGAGGACTTTCATGTTTTTTGGCTTCAATATGGCCAGGTCCTTTAAAACGATCAGGCTGGTCCACAACTTGGGTAACGTTTTTCTAACGATCCAACGGGAATCCTCTTCCACAAACAGAAGGCGTTTAATGGGGCTCTGCGGATGGGTCGGTAATATTCCAATAATGGAGGTCCACAGATTCTCGTAATTGATCCCTCGCGTAGGCAAGTTTTCCATGACGCGAATTGGAAGTGGAAACAAGGCTCTCGCGATGCACATCTCCTGAACGTTGACGGATGCCCTGGAACAAATGTAGACGCCGGTAAAAGCATTGCGTTCTAACAGTTTACGACGGAGAGTACTCCACGAGATGTTTCCATGGGCATAACTAAGATCGATTTTCGTTTGCGCTTGAAAATCGTCTAGAGCCTCGATAATGTCACACATATTCGAATGGGTTTAATATTGTCCACGGGCGGTTCGTTTAAATAGCGCCTCGAAAATATGCCCGTTTCCTTGTGAGTCTCGTGGTTGAAGCTAACCGGCTGGTTATTCAATAGTAAAGGTAGATCGGTAAACTTGCGATTCGGCTGCAACTGATATTCTTTTGCATTCCGGTATCCACTCTCCGAGATCAGGGAACTGAATAGGTCTTTGTTGGTACCGTAACGAAGTGGCTTACGCCCCCATTGGTATGTTAACAAGGCAAACATTAACGATTGAAATGTACTCTGTTTGCCATTCTCGAACACGACTAGTCTAGTGAGATTTACCACGTAGGAGAGAAAATCTTTAAACAGCTCACGATTTGATGTAAAATAAAGAGGTGTATGAAGGGTGTTGTAAAATAAGTTCTCATCTTTCTTCGTTCAGATCCGTACGCGATACAATCAGTTCATCGAGATATTTTGAATTGTTTTCAAAGTTCAGGGGTTTCGTATATGCGAGCGTCGTATATTTGCGATCGTTACCGCTGGAATTGATCGAACTCTTAATCTGACCTCCTAGCCGACCGGTGTGCTTGTTGAGCACTTCTTGCTGCGTTTCTTGAAAAATATGTGGAAGGACGTTCAAGAGAAAATAATCGCTATTATTAATCGGTTGCGCAATCTGAAGTAAACGTGTCTTTGTTTCAGGGCCCATTTTGAGTAACTTTTCTATGTCCTTTAGAGTGATCAAATCTTGATTGTCGAAAATTGAACGTGTTAGATAAACGCTCAGCTCTGGCCCGAAACCGTCAAGGTCTATTGAATCGATAACGTCGCAACTTTTCAATACTGGCGATACGGTTTCGTTAGTCGGTTCGTTGACGAAATTCTCGTTGTCATTTTTTTCGTTTCCATCAGACTTGTCCAAGGTATAAACGTCGACCCATTTGACGTTCTCCCGCACAATAACAAACTCGTCAATATGCGGAAAATTGATAATCATAATTGCCACGACGGTATCCAAGTGAAGCACGGACAGCGGAATTTTAAGAACATGAAGCATTTTCGTCGTCTAAAGTTATTTGCTCTGGTTTACAATCACGCTTGTACACTGAAGAAGATCAAAGACCTGCAACTTATAAAGACCAATCTCCACTACAAACAAATTACTAACGTGCCGGAACCGATCAAGAAAATCAAACTAAACATACTGAAGAAACACGTTTATTTTACAATGGGCATATTAATAAAGTAATAGTATAGGGGTTGACACATTCAAATGCCAATGTCTTGTTTCACGTCCCATCTGTGATATTCGTAGCCACCGGCATTATAGTTTTGGTAATTCGTTTGGACGCTTCCAAGTACTCCGGCATACGAGTATTAGCGCCAGGTCGTAGAATTCGGCATCGGCAGTAGAGAGGAGTGTGTACCATTCTGATAGCCTCAGGACGTTGATGTAGTTGGGAATGCTCCTCAGAAATGCTGCGGTCAAGTAATCGCTACCCCGTCGGATTTCGTATTGCAAGGATTCGGGCATTAAATCAATGATCTCGTCCTGGGCAAGATGGGCGGATAAAAAACCTTTAGGGGAATGACTGACGATTCGTTCTGCGGCCCCGCATCCTTCAATAGTCCCAATGTCCGTAACCAAGCGGCAGCGTGATATTGTTCGTCTCGCATAATATACTCGTTGGCTTTGGTGAACTCGGGCAGAAGGTTCTTGTAACGTAGCCAGCAAAACAAAGCGAATGCAAAATTGAACACGATACCTTCCATGGCTGCCCACTTGCTGACATCTACATACGGAGTGGTATCTTTGTCGGAGGCACAATCTAACCATCCAAACAGTTTATGCAAATGTACGTTACCCCAGGATTCCAAGTGTTTAAATTCAGATACGGTCATCTGAGTGACCACCATCGCACAATTTGTTCACTACTAGGTCGTTCGCCCTCATTAGGAACGCCAATGCAATTTTCACGCCTTCTTCACATTTTCAGGAAAATCGTTTTTAATCGAATCCTTGGCAAGATCCACGTCGCCCGCGACCCATAAACACGAAAGATGTTCGCGAACCAATTTCATCAACTTGGCATCATATTCACAATGGAAATAATTTGATACCGGCTTAGGATTCACGCTGCACAGTTCTTCAAGAGATACGTGAGACATGGCAAACCTGAGAATATTGTCCGCTTAACAATAAACCAGTGCCCAATTTATATTGAATTAGCGAACAAAGATAACGATTTGATATAAAAAGGGGAATCGAGTTGCATGAAACCGCTTTCATAGACCGTTGTAACATGGCATACGAAGAGCTCATTAGAAACGCGTTGATTTCGGTTAGTTTCAAGTGCCCCAAGTACAAAACATTTACGGAAGAACTAGTGAAGGGCACGGCCGGTAAAGCTGAAAAATGGCAGCTTGTCCTCGGATCGATTTCGCAAACGAAAATTGGTAAAATTTTCTGTAATCGAATCATAACGGATTTGTGGGACACGTTCACCAAAGAGGTGTACGTAGATGCAAATGGCCACATTTTCAACGCCCAACTAATGGACGCAATTGCTGCGGACCCGTTCGATTGGAATCGTCTGGAACGGTTCAATGGGACATTCGAGCAAAAATTCGTCTTCTTGACCAGATATGCATTGCAGTACGAACGGCCCGAATTTATGTATAGACGCGTGGACCTTTTCACGCACAGCTTTGTGTCGGAGAGACTTCATTTCACTGTGGATGAATATTATGAGGATTTGGTGCAACAAGACTTCTCGCCGAGCGGACAAATTCTGCGGCATATCGGTACCAAATTATCAACAGAATCCTGTGCAGTTTTGCGAGAATTTCGTCAAAAATCATGTACAGAAGACCACCAGACCATTAAACGGAAGTTTATGGAACATTTGCGACTCTGTTTATTGAACTACGTAGGACTTGGTATAGAGCTACGAAGCACTGAAAACATCGAGCATTACAAATTTTTGGCGGACTGTATGAGCGCTCCGAACCGCAATATTGTATCCAATTTTTATCAAAGTATTGCATACTGGATGATTTCATGATGGCCGTAAGACAAGATACAGCGTGAGGAATGTTTGATACCGACGATGAAATTTTTTCGAGCGCCGTTTATCGAAAAATGAAAGGCGTCCATAGGTTTGCAAAGACCATATCGGCTCGTGAATTAATGAACGTTATTTGTCAGCGAATTTTCGAGAATGGCAAACCTTCGATAATATTTCTGGATCATATGAACAAGTTTAGTCAATTTCCGAACAGTCAAGAACGTCCGATCGGAAGCTCTAACCTCTGTACGGAAATTGCGCTGCCCATGAAAGACGACGAATGTGCGACCTGTTGTGTCGGCACCGATTTTTTTTTTAAAGAAACTACCAATACAGTGTACCGATATCGACTTGGACGCGTTAAATACTAAAATAGCTATGCTCGTAGATATATTGAATACCACACAGGCAACAAGTAGGTTCGAATACAGTCTTAAATATCGACCGCTGGCGATTGGCCTGTTAGGGTTCAGCGACACATTTTCTACTCACGAGAACAATGCTTACAATAATCTACAAGTCGTGAAAAAATTAGAAGTGATTATGGAAGCTGTCTACATCGGCGCAATTGAGCGTAGCTGTGACTAAATGAAACCAAGTAGTTTTGCTTTTGAAGCCAACTACTGTACCTATGGTGGAGAATACTTTCAGTAAATAGAGGAAGCCCCAATGGGTATTCCTTCATTCTCTAGTTTTGCAGAACTCATCATAGCGGATTTGATAGAAAACGCACTTTATAAATTGAAAAATAATGTTAATGTCCACTTTGTCAGATTCTTTGTTGATGATTTTCCCACGGCAATTCCCAGAGATGCCGAGGACTATATTTTGCCTATTTTCAAGAACGTGAAACCAATAACAAATTCCTTTTATGGACATGTTACTTCATAGACAAGAAACTGGTGAAGTGTTAACAGACTGGTACCTAAAACATACTTCATCAGGATTCTGTTTAAACTACCACTCACAGCATGCAATGACACATAAGATTGGTATGGTGAAAACACAAATAAATAGAATAAAGAAACTTAGTCATCCAAACTTCTGGAATAGAAATATTGAAAAGCTAACCGACCTTCTGTCCAACAATGGATACCCTGGACATTTAATCAATAAAATACACAATCCCTCACATAATTCCACCCACACCTCTAATAACAACACTCTGACTCCACAAAATACAATATTTAGAATACCGGTACTTTGCATACCAATTTTATTCAACCACATGAAAAACATCTTTAAAGAGATACCAACAATACAAATAGAACTTCAATACAAAAAAACTATTAGGAATTTACACACAAAATTAAAAGAAAATAAAAAAACAATTTATATCAAACGTCATATAGGTACGAGTTTACATGCCAACTCATCTAAGGCAAAATATATTGGTCAAAAGAAACAATACATCTCAAAGAGATTGAACACCCACAGAAATGATTGTCGGTATCAATTTAAAAAAAAAAAAAAAATTGAATAATTAACTTTAAACCTACCGGACGCCCCAAAATCCTTTTGCTTCTCAGTCTTCTCGGTGATACATCAATTGGACTGATTCAGTTTTCCTCTATCCCCTGTTTTTTTCTTTCCCGATGTTCCAGGTTTTTCAACAGTTCTCTGTTTCGCCGGTGGCAGTGCCACTGAAATAAAAGATGTATGTAGATATATTTAGGTTCGGGTTTGATCCCTTTCAACGTTTAATGTGAATAATGAAGTTTTTATTTTCTCGAGTCAAGGATTGAAACTGTGAGTTCACATACCTTGTTTAAGGTATAGTAGTTATAGCACTTAATTGAAATTGGCCTTGACAAGGCATTTTAAGACAAGAACCTTCTTATAATATTCTTGCGGGTTGCCTTAAATTTATTTCCTCTTGGCCTCGCGTTTAGTTCGTGGTCCATTTTTATCCTGTTTCTAAAATTAAATATAATTTTTTCATTTATAAATAGAATAATTAACTTCAAACCTACCGGACTCCCCAAAATCCTTTTGCTTCTTAGTCTACTCGGTGATACATCAACGGACTCATTCTCTTTTTCTTTATCCCCTGCTTTTTTCCTTCTCGATGTTCCAGGTTTTCCAGTCTTATCCTTATCTTTTTTATCAGTTCCTCTCTTTCTCCACTTCGCAGGTTTTGGCTTTGAAGCAGCTGTCTTTTGCTTCCTTCTTGGGTTTCTTCGTCTAGGAGCGGGTCTGCTAGTTCCAGGTAACTGAGAACCTGATGGTACCCCCAAGTTCGGGCTAGGAGCGTCGACCATAGAAAAATTAGGTTTTGACTCAACTGTTCCGCCACCTTCCATAACTCTAGAAGTGAAAATATCCCTAATTTTGTCATAATCGGGTTCTGAGTCAGGTTGTAATATTTATAAATATATTAGAAAATCCATGATGGCTTCTGATAATAAATAAAAAAAATTCTCGTCCCAGACATTGAAATAAAATATTTGTCTTTTTGGAGCCAAAGCAGGCCTTTAATGTGTCACTTGGTGAAATCATGTATTTTTCATCTAGGCGTTGGATGTTTGAAGGAGAGGAGACAGGATTCTCTCGGGGCAAACTACGCCCTAACCAAGTAATGAGGTTATAAGCCAATATTTCCAGATCACCTCTCCTAGTGGCAACTAACAAAATGTCAAAGCATTATCACAAATTAAAAAATATCAAAATTTACCCCCTAGATGGCCATCTCTGCTGATGTAATCTAGTGTGCCATGATGCCTTCTAGAAGGATCCGGTTTAAATTCTTTATCAAGAGTATATTTACAGGCCAAACTCGACTAAATAAAGCTGTTAATTATCGCTTTCGTCGCTGGTATGTACCATTATATTAGGTGATTTAATATCATAGTGGACATACTTAGACTCATGCAAATTACGTCGATCACCGAAAAAAGTCTGTCTTTAGAAAGTTTATTTTCAAAAGTTACAAGTTATCTCGAGAGCAAAACAATATGGAATGAAATTAAAATCTTAAACTAAGATACATTGGCTACGTTCACCAGAACCAAAACGGATCGTAAACAGTTTACAAATGCCAACAGAATATGTTGGGTAAACTCTTGGTTCTGCTGAACGATTCAACTTTTCAATGATAGAATGTCACCTTCTGAATGACAGGTCACCACACAAAATACAGTGTTGAAAATTATGAACACTCTGAAATTATGCTTGCAAAAATGGCGACCGTTTGCAAAACATGTTTGGTTTTAACACAAATTCACCGTAGCGTTCAGCAGAACAATCGTAAACCGTTTACCAACGTTTGTATCTGGTGAACGCGGCCATTTATATTTCAATTTGTGCTGAGCTGGCCCACGTGCCTGGCGATGGGAAGCATTTCGCGTTGGCAGGTTCCATGGGATTCGTGATGAGTATACTTTGTAACTACAATGTATCCTAATCCTAAGTTAGAGAATACCTCTGGTATTTTCTAAGGCAACCTCTTCCTTCGGCTTGCGGTCGGATTTTGGCTTCGTCTTGAAATATGCAAGATTATTGTTTGAGAATTCCAAATTTTTGGATCTTGATTTTGATCGATATCGGCGAGGATATTTTCATGTTCATCTAAAGGCTCTTGGTTTTTAGTGGTACATTCGTCGGTCTCAGCCGCAACTTCAACTACGTCATAGAATTGCGCTAAAAAAATAGTCAAGATTAGATAATTTATGTTAACATGCACATGAAGCTCTTGCTTCGGTCTGGTTCTTTATTCTAATTGGTTCCATTTAGTATTCTTGTAGAAAAAAAATGTTTTCTAAGGGCCAAATTATGGACCAACTAAGTGCCTGGTTGTTACCTAGCAGGTACTTTCCATTCTCTAGAGCATAGAAA